AGAAAATAATAAAAAACTAAAAAATTGGAAACTAATAAAAAACTAAAAATTATTTAAAAAGTCTGGTTTAAAAAGTTTAAAATAATTTAAAAAGATAGATTTAATTAATAACAATATACATAAGTCGTAGAAATCTAGTTTAAACAGTTTAAAATAAGGGTTGCAACACATAATAAAAAATATACATTAAATAAACTAGTTTAAAATAATAAATAAAGGTATAATTTTTCTGAAAATTTAATAAAAATAAAATATAAAAAGTAAATACAAAAACTGGACCTCACACATTTATTTTTAATATATCTTTAGCACATTACATAAAAGTTATAGTATACAGAAAAAGAATTTTATACTTTATATAATTATTTCTATTATGCTATAATTAATTACATGATTTAAAACAGCAGTCGGGAGACGCCACGCCAAATTTTGTTTCTTATACTTGACATATTAATTATATTTATTTAGTATATTTATTCAAACACATATGCTTGCGTACATACATATAATGTGTATGTATACTTTCATACTGAATATCTTTTTACGACCGACTGCTGCCAACCAACCGAAGGTTATATACTAATTATAAGACAGATAATATGGCGAAGAAACAGTAAATTTGGCGTGGCGTCTCCCGACTGCTGTATTAAATCATGTTGTATAATAATTAGTCAAACGTTCATCATTTATTTCATGTATCAGTCACCGTCCGCGAAGATTGTATTCGCGGCATGCACGGTCTCGCGTCATGATCGCATGCCTAATTGCTTTCGGCGCGACACGTATCATTGGAGAGGGCGTACAGAGCTCTCGTGTACGCACAGGGGGAGCACGAGTTCGCTTTCCGCTACGAAACAACGAGAATATTCGAGAGCAATTCGACGTGTGACTTCCTTCGCATAACAACGCATCTTTGTATCCCGGTGTATGGTCACAAAGTTAATTAGAAATAAGAGAAAGCCAACTTGCTTGTCTCGACCGACATGTAATTAATTATAGCGTAATAGAAATAATTATATAAAGTATAAAATTCTTTTTCTGTATACTAGCTATAACTTTTATGTAATGTGCTAAAGATATATTAAAAATAAATGTGTGAGGTCCAGTTTTTGTATTTACTTTTTATATTTCATTTTTATTAAATTTTTAGAAAAATTATACCTTTATTTATTATTTTAAACTAGTTTATTTAATGTATATTTTTTATTATGTGTTGCAACCCTTATTTTAAACTGTTTAAACTAGATTTCTACGACTTATGT